TACAGGCCATGGTCTTTGCAATCACTTGTTATGCATCAGAAAGCTGGACAATGACCAGGGAGGATAGAAGGAGAATTGATGCTTTTGAGCTTTGGTGTTGGAGAAGAGTGCTGAGGGTGTCATGGACTGCTAAGAAAACAAAAAGATTCATCCTGGAGAGGGTTAAATATGGCTGCTCCTTGGAGGCAAGGATTCTGAGACTTCATCTGACATACTTTGGTCATGTTGTAAGGAGAGACCAGTCCTTGGAGAAGGACATCATGCTTAGAGGGGTGGAGGGTAAGGCCCCCTGGGAGGTGGATTGATTTGGTAACTCAGGCAATCAGGATGAGTGTGTCAGAGACAATGAGATTGGCACAGGACAGAGCGGAGTTTAGAGCTGTTGTACATAGGGTCGCTATGAGTCTCAGCGACTCGACGGCACATAACAACAACAATACCTGTTGACTTCCAGAACTGTGATCAGACATCACCCATTGTCATGAAGTTTATTCTAACTCTATAGGACAAAGCAGAACTATCCCAAGAGTTTCCAAGGCTATAAATCATTATGGAGGTAGACAGCCATCTCTTCCTCCCACATAGCAGTTATAGAGTTACAATCCCTTATCTTTTAGCTGAACACTTAACCATGACACCACCAGAGATCAGATATTACTCTATCTTTAAGAAATAGGACTTTTCCAGCCGATCACAATTGCACTTATGAGTATGAGTAGTGAGGTCAATTCTACACCCAAGGCAGTATTTTCAGAGCAGGTGCAGGCTTCTTCACATTGGTAGTCAGTAATTTAGCAGATACTATACGAAAGTGAAATAATTTTAATAATAGTTGAAACAATATAGGTTCTCTATCATAAATTCCCATGAAGACCCCCTTTTATATAATTATATTATGATCAGAATTTGCTCCAGAATATCTTAATACTATTAAGATTATGAATCTTGGAAGAAAAAAATAACTAAACTAGGAAGTAGAAGTTGGTCTGTTCCACAATCAGCTCCTGGCCTAGTTTTCACAGCTGATATTGAGCTTCTCCAGCGGTTCTTTCCACATATGTAATCAATCTGATTCCTATGCATACCATCAGGTGAAATCCA